TGCCAACCCAAAGAAAGAATGTCATAACATTTTGTTTTATAGAAAATCATTCTAGAGTTGTACTCATAATAGTCTGTACTCGTAAATAAAATAATTTAATATCATCTTCCTTAATTTTTTTTGCAATATTATCTAAAATTAGTTTTTATAATATTGTGAATGCGGGTATAAAAAAAAGTTATGTATTTTGATGTCAAGCATGTTCAGAAAAAAATGACAATACAAACAGGCAATTATTGTCAAAATAAAAATAAGAAAACAACTCCATAAAAGTAATTAATTTTCTTGCAGCAAATTTTCATCCAAAATTTTGCACAACTTCAAAATAAAACGCATTATTTTCTAAAACAACGTAATAAAAATGGCTGATTTGAAATGCAAACAATGATCTCTATGCAGTCATCATCAAATCATGTAAAACAAATTTTGTACACCATTTTCCCAATTACCCCAAAAAAAAAAAATCGGAAAAAAAATGTCAAATGCTAAACCGGTTTCCACAGCAGATTTTTTCTTTTTCTGATTTATTAAGTTCGCCTTGTATTCGTATGGTTACATCTTTCGTATTTGCATTTTTTTCAAAAGTTTGAATAAACAAAGAGTGTGATTGAGAAAAACACCCACTTAAAAGCAAGAGACCTCAAAAAATATTTTTTTCACTCTCATTGTTTTGTAATATACATATGTATTTAATTACATTAAAATACCTGTTTCCAGTTAATTTAGATGAGTATGGGAATTAAACAACATAATTTAAAAAAAATATGTAAAGCAATAACAAAAACTTAGAGTAAATAACATAAAATGAGTGTACACTGTAAATACGTAAACACAAGGCTAGAAAGTAGAAACACACTTTCTCTTATATATTTTTTTATAGTATAAGTTATTTAAACATACATATACATAAATAGCATATTTTGAACAAAAAATAATTGAGTTTTTCTCTCTTTGACTTTGCGAGAATCAAAAAGTAAAAGTGCTGCAGAGATCAGTTTATACACAGTTATTCTTTTAGCAATCAGAAGAGACCAATTGAAGTTATTGTTATACTTACATAATTTAAGTAAAATTCAATGCCCTTCAAAATCATTTTTTGAAACCAAAAAAAGTTTTATTTATTTCGTACAAAATGCATGTTAAAATTTTATATTATTTTATATGAGTAAGAATATTAATTGATTGATATGAAAAAAACAAAAATTTTCTAAGAAGAAAGGTATACAAAAATATTTAATTAATGTTATTGATTATTAATAAATATGATTATTTATTAATTGATTGAAAATATATTTTTTTTATTATATAGGCATTAGCTACACATACATACTATGTAAAAGCATATGTACATGGGTACATACATATACAATTAGAATTGAATGTTTTATTTATTATTACCGAGTATTCACTCGACACCTTTTGCATTAATGGTTGACTTGTGTAAGAATGTACCTACCTCTTGCCAACAAAACTTGTGTACAAACATATAGGTCAACCATTACTGCAAAAACAGCTATTGAAATAATTTGTTATGTAATTGCTTGTTATTTTTGTTTAAATCCTCTTTACGTGTTTTAATTGCTGATTTAAATAATATGTCCATTGTATTCGTATGTAAGTACATATGTATGTAATTTATGTGATAAAATTTTCTTTATATAATACAGTAATCCCTCGATATACATTTTATTTATGTATTTTTATATTGTTAGTATCATATTCATTATCTTCTTTTAATACAAAACATAACAATTTTCATTCCTCAATCTTAATTGAGGAACGTATACACATAGTAATATGTACATACATTGTTTATAAATTGACATATCGGTAAACAGAGAAAATACCAATAAAAAACTATAAAATATTTTCTTTTTAAATATTTGATACATTTTTGCTTAAAATCAAAAATTCTGCTCAAGTTGCTTCAAATTACTGTAATTTTAAGTTAAGACAAAATTTATATTGAATTGAATTGTGCATGTTAATAGTAAAATAGAGATGACGTTAATAACGTACATACTTATGTTAAGAAAAAAAAAACTCAATTTTTTGTTATACTAAAAAGAAGCTCTTATATGAGGACAAAATACTAAATTTGAAAAAAAAAGTTGAAATAAATTGTCTAATTATACTTATCGAAAAATTTACTTTGTTTATAAGTGCTTCCACATTTGAGATTAAGCTTTAATCCAAATACCTTATGCATTACATCAGTGTTATGTTTTATTATAATTAGTAGCACATATTGACGAAATTCATGTCGTCATGCGATTCGTCATATATTATCAAAACAATCACTCTACATATTGGGGTATCACTGTATTTGTTGTTATAATATATAAATGTATGTATTGTAAGATTATTGACATAGGAAAATAATTTTAGGCAACTCATAGCACAAATTTTAATTATATTTTTTTTGTGAAAAACACATTTTATTTTTAATTTTATATGTGTTAAATCAAATTCAAATTCCTCTCTTAAATCAAATTCAAAAAAAAGTATATGTATACAGTGGTACAAAAAATTATTCGCACAAGATTAAGTTGCATGTTTTTTTCGATTTCCAGATATATTGACTTATAAAAATTTTTTTCTTAATAAGATTTATTCTTCATTTATTTCTTTTTAATTATCAACAAAATAAAAAACAAAAAAAAATAACATATAAGTAAAGAAATAAATTTCGTTTACATTTTCGAGACAAAATATTATTCGTACAATTCAAACAAGTTCAGATAATTACAGTTATCTTTAAAAAGATAGTCGCCAATATTAATAAATAAGGCGACTTAAATAGTCGCCAATATTAATGAATAAGCATTAGTCAATATTTAAGTGTTCTCATACATAAGAAGTCATTTATTGGTGCAGTTTTTGTCCATTATTTAATAATATGAGTCGAAAGCAAAAAGAAACTACTCTTGAGGAGCGCAAAATAATAATGAAACTTATCCCTGAAGGTAAAACTTATAGGGAAGTAGGTAAAATAGTTGGAAGAAGCCACTCATCCATTCAGTCCATTGTAAAAAAATATAGACACGAGGGAATATTAACAAATAAAGCAGGCAGAGGTAGAAAAAAACTTTTCACGCAAACAACAGAAAATTTTATTATTAGTAAAGTTAAAGCAAACCCCAAGATCCACATACCAGGACTGACAAATCAGGTACGGGAAATCATAGAAAAACCTTTTAGTTCAGAAACGGTGCGAAATGTTTTAGGGAGAGCTGATTCTCACGCCAGAACACCTAGAAGAAAACCATTTATTTCCAAAAAAAACCGGAAGCTAAGGTTGGAGTTTGCAAAAACTTATATTAACAAGCCCCCAGAGTTCTTGGAAAAAGTAATTTTCTCTGACGAATCAAAGATTCGTTTATGAGAATTCTTGTATTTAGATATGATTTTTGATCAGATAAAAAGCAAATGGTATGGAAAGAGCCTAATTCTGATCTTAATCTTGTACGAATAATTTTTTGTACCACTGTATATTTCAAAGAATTCATGGAAGTGAAAAAAAGGAAATGAAAGAGAATGAAATATAAAACTGAGAGATAATTATAATTATGTTTGAAACTGATACACATGAACATATGTATGTGTGGATATTATGTGAATCAGTCTTAAATATGCATAAAAATTGAAAAAACTGATTTAAATAATGGCGTTATACACTCTACATAGTATATACGTAATTAATTTATTTTATTTTTAGTTTGTTTAATAACTATATTTTATTAAAGAAATTTTTGAATTTTCTTAAAAAAAATAAAAATTATTAAAATATAAAAAATTTAAATATATGTTCATATATGTATGTATGTATCTATGCATATTGTATATAATACATACATAAATACATAAGAATGTACGTACATATATGCATAGATTAGTGCAAAGCAAATTGTTTAATAAAATTTTTTTATTAATTTAGATATTTTAAATATGTATGTACATATGTATATATGTTATATTTTTTGATTCAAAATCTTCATATGGAACAAGTAAATTTTGTGTATGTACATATTGTGTATATACATATTATCTATACCAAGTTATGAGATATTCTTCAAAAGTTTTATAGTTATAATACATTGAAATAGATTCAAAATTTGAAATTTTATATGAAAATATCAAACAGTTTACGGCTCCGGCAGATATGCAATTTTTAGTTTTACAATAACTTCTTTATTGTAAAATCGGTGCGAGCCCATGAACTGAATTATCTGTGAAAACAGAACCAAACTGGTGAGCGGCCACGGTGACGATTTCCGCTGTTGACCCAGAAAAAGAACGGAATGACAAAAACAGTATTTTGCAGAGGATTTTTCATATAATGTCACACGTACATGGAAACAGATAATGTCAAAAATAATTGCCAGCGAAAAAATTGGAATTTAGGCTATTCCATGGCTGGCGGTGAAATTCGCGCCAGTAAATTCGCTTGATTCTGGACAGTTTCATTTAAATATGTGTATTCTATATGAATTCTGGCATTTCGCTGCGTAAAATCATTCTTGTTCGGTTTTCAACTTCTGCAATTGCATGTCTATCTGTGTCCTTAAAGACATTTTGACATTCTATAATTTTTTGTCCTTTCAAAATTTGTTTGAGTTAGCCTCTTGGGCGAAGTTTTTGACATATTTATATAAATTAAAGCAGTATTTTCGAGAGCACATATTTTAAAGTGACTTTTCAACAAAAAACTTACTTGAATTTAGATATGAGTGATTCAATAATACGCAAATATTCCGTATATTTTAATATTAAAGTAATTTTAATACCAATTTGACGTACGCATTATACTATTGTGTTCACTTGCATGATATTTTAAGTATAAACATATACGTATACCAGTTTTCTTTTTTCTGTTATAAATTCGTCGCGCGTTTTTTTTAATTGTTTCTCAATTTTAATTATTTGGATAAGAACATACAAAAACATATTTTAGTATTCTAATGCTTTAATTAAAATTTTTGTTTGACATTGTTTTTCAGAAATTCTAATTTTTTATACTAAAGAAGTAAACAAAATTACTAAAAGGAACAAAATAAAAAGCAACTTAATAATGTCTGATACAAATTTAAAAGGCGAAGAAATGGAAATACCAGATGAAGATCTTGAAGATGGTGAAATTGAATCAGATGATGAGCCAATCTTAGTAAATGATAATAAAAGCGACATGCCAATTCCTAAAACTATTCCAATAACTTCTTCAAATGAGAACAATAGTAAAAAGGATACTAATTCACCAATTAAACAAATCCCAATTATCGATTTAGTTGACAATGACAGTAATCAAAATACAAAATCGGCGAAATTTAAAAAACAAAGTGTTATTGAAGGTAAATTTATGGAATAATGGGTTGTTCATATTCTGTGAAAATGCGATAGTGAGAGTTGTACGCGATGTCGCAGAAATATTGTTGTCGCAATTCACTTGACATTAAAAGCAACAGCGACATTAATTTAACCAAAAATGATCTAAAAAAATTTCATTCAATTTCCATTCCATAGGCAGCGACAGATCTTCAATATTTCGAGATTATGCTTTGTCGTATGTCGCAGCAATCTAACCTGCACTATTTAAAGCAGTGGATTGACTAATATTTTGACGATTCATTCGACTATCACTATAATATGAACAACCCATATTTTGACGATTCATGCGACTATCACTACAATATGAACCACCCATAAAATAAAATAAATACAGTGTTTCATTTAAGTCACTTTTAATTTTGTTAAAATTTAAATTCTTTTTTAACTTGTTTTTTTCTGTTTTTTTTTAAGATGATTTCGCTGGAAATATTGAAAACGCTATAGCAGCGGCATTAAAGAAAGATGGAATAGAACCACCCCCAATGCCGAAAATCCTAGAAAAACGTAATAAAGAAGATGAAAACGAAAAAGTTTGTGCTAATAGCAGCAAAAGAAAAAGTCGGAAAAGAAAAAAAAAAGAAGCCGAAAAAGAAAAAGCCGTGGACGGTAACAATATAAAGGTATGAAAATTTAATGTATTGTACGAATGCCTGTGCCTCCTTAATACGTATCTTAAGCAATAAACTTTGCAAAGGACAAAAAATTCATATCGCTAATAAAAAATTTAACAAAATAAAGATTAAGAACAAGCAATATGTACATATTGTCTAATGAAAACAATAAATTTGCAATTCCGAGCTTATGTACGCCAAAAACCTTAAAATTGTTTAAATAAAGAAAAAAGAATAAATCAAAACAATTACGTTTTTCTTAACGAGATATGTTAGTGTCCGGTGATTTATTATTTTAATATATACATACAAATGTACATGCTGATTGTTTATATTCGAAAATAAGTATTCAAATTTATTTTTCTTAGAATTTGAGTGTTTGGTATGAACCATTAATCAATTGTTTTACTGCTATTTTTTTTTCTTTTATAGCGAACACGTCATAACTCAATATCCAAAAATGAAGATGACGATATTGACGATGCTCTAATGTATGAAATGTTAGGTATAAGAGGTGGTAGTCCACCACCAGTATCAGCAACGGGAGTTGCTGGTGGACCATCATCAAACGCTTTGTCAATTATGTCATCATATTTTTCTGATGATTCATATTCCTCATATGATTCTTATGATTCTGATATTGAATATCGTAAGAAAGGAGAACGTATGGGTAGATTTGGCAAAAAAAATCGGAAAGATCATAAAAATAATCGCGATCGTAGTAGAGATAGGGGAAGAGATAAAGAAAAATCAAGTCGTAGGAAAAATCGTAATACAAGTGATGATGGCGGTGATGAACCAATGAGTAGAATGATCTGTATAGCATATTTAAGAGGGCAATGTCAAAATGTAAATATAACAAAAAGTCTACATATATCATATGAATTCTATTTTATTACTATATTAAATTTATTAATTACATTGTAAAATACTTTTTAAGGATGATTGTCCAAAAAAACATGAAGGAAGGCCTGAACGTAAATTGGAATTATGTAAATTTTATTTGAAAGAATGCTGTGCTAAAAAAGAAAAATGTTTATATATGCATGCTGATTTTCCATGTAAATATTACTATTTGGGTATGGAATGCATATATAAAAAGGAATGTAAATATATGCATGGTGAACCATTATCGGAAGCTTTACGTAACATATTATTAAAGCACATTGAAACAGCACCCAAGGAAATTTTAGGTACATTTCGTCGCATAAGTCGTGATTATGCTATTCAGTTATTGAATAAACAACATTCAATATTATGTAAAAAATATAATATTGAAAATACATATGCACAAACTTTACCCACTCAATCGCAACCAATTAACGTTTTATCAAATGCGAATAATAATAGTAAATCATTATTAGGAAATCCACCAACTTCATTAAATAATTTATTAAATGAATCAAATAATATTGTATCAAATGCAGTAATTTCCAATATACAATCAAATACATTACCAAATATGACAACAACATCTGGTATACCATCATTGTTAGATATGATCATACCATCACCTACAGGCTATGAAAATGATATAAATTCAAATAATAGTATTCTAAAACTAAGTGGAAATTGTGGTTTAGTGCTGGAAAATAAACCAAGGAAATCCCGTTGGACTGATACAAATAATACTCAGCATCAACAGGAACTTCAACAACAACAACATTCGCAGCAATCAATAAGTAATAAAAATGATGGTAAAAATGAGATTTCTGACGTACCAAATTTTTTGAAATTGCAATATTTAAATGGTATTTTACGTCAAGATCAAATAGAAAAATTGATTCAATTAGGAGTTGAAACATTAGAGCAATTAACAACATTAAGTTTAATGCAACTAAATCTTGTTGGATTAACTGTAAACCAATTAAATGAAATACAGTTAAATACAATGAATTTAGAAAAATTGGGTATATTTAAAATGGATGCATCAAAGACACCAGCTAAGTTAAACTTAGACAATGTAACATCAAAGGAGTTTAGTAATATTAATAATAATAACAATAATAATAATAATAATAATAATAATAATAATAATAATAATAATAATAAAAATAATATTAACAATAATAATAATAATAATAATAATAATAATAATAATAGTAATAACACCAATAGTAATAATGATAATATTAACAATAACGGTAATAAAAATAGTAATACCGATAATAACAGTAATAATATAAGCAATGATAATAGTAATAGTGATAGTAGCTGTTTAAAAGATACAAATTCTGAAAAAGAATCCAGTGGAACACCATTTATAATTCATGCGATGTAAGATTAACAGAAAAATAATATTTTAAGAATATTTAAAAACAATAAAATTTTAAATTTACCTTGTAAAACATTTTGTTTTATTTTCAGGAAAGCATCAACAAATGACATTGATATGCGTGTGCTACCGACTGGTGTTGTAATATCTAACAAAGTTAATGAACAAGATAAGCTAAAATCCACTGAAAAAGATAGTATAGCTTGTATAGCTTCACCAGAACCACAATTTATTGATCGTCATTTATCTTCACTGAAAAATATGATAGAACATAAAAAAAGTGAACGTAATGCTATTAATGCAGTTGATTATTCACAATATTTAAAAGATTCAAATATTGATAATGATAAGTTGGATATAAGTAAGACAAAAAATTCCTCTTTAAGTTTTAAAAATAATTGTAAAACATATGAAAATATTTTGTTTAATTTGTTTACATAGTTGACGATGAAAAGGATGATGATCAAAAACTTATAATTGAAGAAGATGATGATCAATTAAAAATTGATGAATCTGCTTTTGATATGGATAATGAAAAATCAGTAAGTTTTTTATTTATAAGTCTGAATTTTGATTACATATGTGGTGAAATTTCGATATGTGTAATGTGATTCATGAATAAAAACATACCGTAAGTTCAATAATGCGCTTAATACGTGAACTTTACAAAGCATCACATTCCAAAAAATTTTAGTAAAAGCTGTTGACATTGCGCTCAATACGTAGTGGATACGTAAAATAAAAGTAAATTGGGTATCGAAAAAATCGAGCGCGCTTTTTTTATACATGTCATATAAATATTACCAGAAATAACCAACTAAGTAAAGTAGCATATATTTTCAGCAATAAAGTGTTATTAAGTTATTAAGTTTTTTCCCAAAATGCAGCATAAAAATGCTATGTTTTTAATGAGTGGTAACGTTTGTTAAAAATTAACACTTGCACAGAGCTTTAAATTGAAATTTTCAAGCAAACGTCAAAGCACGTATTAATATTGTAAAAATTGTATTCCAAAATGTATCAAAAGCTATAGCAGTTTTTTGTACAATATAAAGGTATTGAAAGCTCTGAGACGGTAATACAATCGTATTAATACCGTACTTAAACATTTTATATAGCATTATTGAAGTCACGGATATATTGCATACGAATGAACGTACTTAATTTTAATTTATTTTTTTTTTAATTCTTTATGTATTTAAGAAAATTTTTTTTTTTTTCTAATTTGCATTTCTTTAATTTAGAATACCAGTGATGAAGAAGGCAGAACAACTCCAGTTGGTGAAAATACTTTTGATGATAACTCAAATTCTTCATCAAAACTGTTACCACCAATTATACCACCTATGTTTGATCAAATCAAAAGTAAAAAAGTAATCGATCTTAGTTCAACTGTTTCAAATATGCTAAAAGCTCAAGCTGTGGCATCAAAAAATTTAGTTTCAGATACAAATAAACTTAATTCACCTGTTATGCCATTATATTTTCTGTCAAACAATTCATCAAATATAGATAATGCTGAAAAGGAAAATGAGAAAATTGTAGATATAAGTAAAGAAATTGAAAGCAAGTTCAATTTGAATTTTGAGTTGAAATCAAAAAATAATACTAATTTATTGTCAGTTAATAATTTTTACGGCAGTATTGAAGCCAAAAATTTGGATAAAAATCATGAATTGAACAAAAATAATAAATTACAATTTCAAGATCCAAGAAAAAATTCAAATAAAAGCGACAACTACGAGTTACAAAATTTATATTCAAAATCATTTAAACGTAGTCCATCACCAATCAAATCACCACAATACAAGGAACCAACAATGTATGACCGTCCAAGTATATACGATGGATATTTAAATGAAAATGACGATGATGATGATGAAAACGATGAGATTGGTTTAAAAAAACAAGCGGATAAAGATATGAGAATGTCTGAATATATAGATTCAAGTAATAAATTTTTTATGTATAAATTTTCTTTGTAAATGTATCTTTTTTTTAGACGATTTAGATTTGAGATTACCTTTTAAACCTGTGATGACAAATTTTACTCCTGCTACAGAAATTGATGGCTCAGTTTCCTCTAACAATCCTATAATTTATAGAGTAAGTTCTATATTATTAAATTTAATTCGTTAAACTCATTAAATTGTTTATTCGTTTTGTTTTTAAAAAATTAATTTTAAAATTTTTAGGTCGTAGAAATTGAAATACCGAAACCAAACTATAAAGAAATTCGACGTAATTGTCCTTCTAATGAAAAAACTTTAGATCCACGTTTACGTCGAATATTTTGTTTACAAGATGAACCTATATTAGCAAAATCATCACATTTAAATCAAACAACAGTTTATGAATCTGATTCTGAATCGTCAAACTCTACAATACCATTAAATGCAACACCTATCCCAGCATCAAATTTGCTACTACAGTCAAAAGATAAATCAGATACATTTTTATCAAATATAACAACAACAACATTAGCACGTTTGGATCCAAGAAAACGTAACAATGATAAAAATACAATGCAGGCGTCAACATCAGCCCCATTATTATTATCTGATTCAAATAATCAATCTTGTATAACACAAACGACGGCAAATTCTCAAGGGAACTCACAGCAAAATAATGATATAAGAATGATATTACAGAAATCAAATTGGTATAAAAATTTAAATTCAAAATATAAAATAATGATTAATCAGCAATTGGCAATGGTGTCCACTGAATTAAAAAAATTTCATCAAAACCCGTCGTCAAGTAAGATATTTGATATAACATTTATAATGCAAAATCCAACTTTACAACAAATTTTAACAAATTTGTGTATTTATATCGATGATAGTGGTATAATAAGACAAATTGATTCTGACAGTGAGTCAAGTGATAGTGGAAATTGTAGTAACATTAATAAAATAAATACTAATAATACTATTAGCAATAATAATATTATTAGTAATTTAAATAACAATAGTGCTAATAACAACAATAATAATATTAATATTAACAATAATAATAATAATACGAATGCTGCTAATAATAATAACAATAGTACTAATAATAATAATAGTAATAATAATAATAATAATAATAATAGTACTAATAATAATAGTAGCAATAATAATAATAATAATAATAATAATAGTAATAATAATAATATCAACAATAATCAACCAAGTAGTATTTTAGGATATCCCGGTTTATTAGAATACAATTCCAATAATTTAATAATTAATCCTGGAGGACATCAAAAACCAAATCAATTAATTGGTATAGGTAATTTGATGGACTTACCAAATATAGGAAATAATTCAATGGATTTTCTACGTGGACCACCGCCATTACATAATTTACAACAACAACAACATCAACAGCAGTTGCAACAAAGATTTGGCCCAATACAAGCAGCTCTTAATAATCAGTTTCCCGGTGGTCCAGGTGGTGGTATGGGCCCTATGGGTATAGGTCCTGGTGGTATTAATCCCAATATTAATCCTAACGGACCAATGCATCATTTTGCCAATTCACCAGATATGAGACCTGGTTTATTAGGTGTTGCGCCTGGAATCGGTTTTAATAATCAATTTATTGGTGGTGGTGGCGTTAGTAATAATAATAATAATGGCGGTATTATGAATCAACGTCCGGATATTGATAATTTAATACCTTTATTATCAAATGAAAATTTATTAGGTAACCAACAATTCCCTGGTAGTGGTGTTCCAAATTTAAATTTTCCAAATTTTTTCAATGATCCTCGTAATCGTAATAATTTAAATAAAAATAATAACAATAATAAAAGATTCAACAATTTTGGTATGAATAATAATAATAATAATAATAATAATAATAATAATAATAATATGAATAATAATAATAGAGATCGCAGAAATTTCAATGATAATCGTATTAATCGAGATAACAGAAATCGTGATAAAAGAAAAATTTAAAAACAAAAATACTAAAAAAATTATCAGAAACAAACATAAATAAGAATAATATTGTGGCGGTTTTTGTTTTCTTTCTTTTGTCTTAATAGAAAAACAAAAACTGAAAGTCGGAACAAAAGTATGAAGATTAAAAAAAATAAGTGTAACGATTGAAAATAAAAAATCATGTATAAATATAATTGATGTTTAACATTTACTTTTAATAAAGCTAAAAATGAAATATAAAATTACTTCCAATAAAATGTAATTAATAGGTAAAAAAATCATGAAAATGTAATGAATAAATAAACTGGATTTTATCGTTATTGAACTCCAATATGTCTTTCCACAAATAAAACATACATAACTGTTTTTTTTTGTAGCATTTTATTGGTTCAACTTACTTAAATACTTTTAAAATTTAAGGTTCAGGAAATTTTATTGATTTTCTGGACACAAAAAAAAAAGATAAGAAGAGGTCAATAATCTTGCATTTAACATACTATCACTTTCTTGATAATACATAATTTGTAATAAGTGAATTTCAACAACATTTAAACTAATTACACTTATGCATTATAATTATTATTGGTATTACTTATCCATTATAATTATTTATTACATATTTAAAAAAAATTAATATAATAAATAACAGATTATGTTAAAATTTAAAAGAAAATTGTAATTATACCTTTGATTTATTAAAATCAAAAAGACATCCAAGAGGAATATGAATATTGTGAAGATCGGAAAGCATATTTTCAGCTTTCTTTCACCAAAATTTGAATATCGTTTTCTTTTCATATTATAGTTTAAAGATTTTTATTATAATGTGTATAATTATACGTTATCCACGTAATTTATTTTATTTCGCTTCCAATTAAAATTTTTCTTTTTTGTCAATCGAAAGTAATTATAAAAAAAAGTTTTTTTATTAATTGCAAATAATTGATGCTAAAAAAAAAAACTTTAATTAATTTTTTAATCACAAAAAAATTTGTTGTTGAATTTACTTTAAGTGGTTGTCTATGTTCCTAACAAATATTTTTTCAAATTTTAATGTGCCACAAAAGAGAGAAAAATTTTAATTATTAATGAAATTTAATAAAATGAAATTTTGTATTTAATTTTAATATTTTTATTTTTAGAACTAAATTGAATCAAGTTGTTTTAGTTCAATTTTCGCTTCTTTTTTTTTTGTTTTTTCTTTTTTGGAAAATTTGTCTTCCTTACCACACAATTTTGCATTATTAATAAAAAAAATCATATTTGTATTTAATTAAGAAGAAAAAAAAATTATTTATATTTAACTTTGAGCAAAACAAACTTAAATGTTTGGTGTTAATATGTAAAATAATGTACAAAAACTAACTTTTTTATTTTACTTTTTATTAATTTTTATAAACTACTGAATGTAATAACTTTCACATAACATAATTGGTATTTAAAATAATTTGTTAATATTCAATTGAATATTATAAAAAAAAAATTTGAATTAATTAAATTTTGAATGTTATAAAGGTAAAATAATTTATTGTAGTAAAAGAAAAACACATATAGAAAAACATAAATAAAAAATTAAAATGAGTAATACAATATTTTGAATTTATCGTTTCTTTTTTTGAATACTATAACACAAGTTTCATGATTAAAGTTATTTTATAATATTAAAAGATTATTTTTTTGACAAAATTTTATTTTTTTCTATATTAACGTAATCTATAAATATAATATATGTATTTAATATTATTTTAATAATGACAAAATTATATAAAAACTTGCGAATATGAAATTATGTAACAAAAGTTGTTTGTATTTGATTAATTCTTTACATTGTCATTGTTTTTTATTGTTTTATTCTTTGCTTTGTCAAAATTAAAATAAATATGATATTTTTTATGAAATAAACATTTTTTCGACAGATTAATATAAATTTTTATATAAAAAAAAAATGGAGAATTTAAAGTTAGCAAACATTTTCAAATAGTTGCCCGGTATTAAGATTCGCTTGATCTTACTTCATTTTGAAATTTAAAATATTGAAAAATGTGCGTTCAATTCAGCAAAGCTACTGATAATTATTAAATTAACATAAAAATAAGTTTATTACGTATATTTTTTGCTAATTTTGTTCATTATACAATATTTTAATTTCCTACTTTTTGATGAAAAATGTCATATCAACTTTTTATTATTCATAAAATTACTTAAAATTTTTGAATTGCAAAAAATTCAAACTGTATATTAAAAATTCACTATTTCATTTATCTGACTAAAATTGTAAAATTGTAGGGATACGGATTTAATATATGGGTTTTTTCGGAAATTCATCACTGCGCTGATTTAACTAAGTTAAATCAGCTAAGTTCATTCACGGAATATTCAAACAACTGCGGAAAAAGTTTTGAATTTTTTAACAAATAAACTTCACTTAAGTTAACTTAGAAATGAATATTCGAAAAAATCCTATAATTCAGCTCATGAGTTGTATAATTGCTAAACTTTTATATCAATAGAGTATTACTATAATTTTGAATTATTAATCGCAAGAGTTTATTTAGATAAAAATTTATTAATAAAAAGCTTTCAATTTAACGTTTTTTTTTGTTTGAGAAGAAAAAAATAAAGAAATTTTGTAAGATTTTGACTTTTTCTTCTTTTTCTCGTAAGAAACGACTTTACAATAGTTTGTTTTTCTTTCACCAAGTTTTTAATAATTATATTGAACCAGTTAAAAATTGTTGAATTATATTTTGAAAAATCATAAATATGTAATTTTAAATGCCAATTCAAATTATATTCGGGGATGATCCATATATATATAAATATATTTACCTTTACTTCAATGTTGAGGAAAATCGTATTTAAATCTTACAAACAAAGTAATTATTACAAAATTATGTAGTTTTTTTCTTTTCCAAATTATTTTGTAACTTTAATGCAAATTAGCTTTGCTTTTTTTTTTTGTTGAAACTGAATACATTCCTTTATTTAAAATTGAATTACAAACATTGGAAATATTTAGAATTTAACATAACTAAAATTAAACATAAGATTTTTAATTAAAGAATAAATAATATTTGTTATTTGAGAAAGAAAATTGTAATACCTTTAGTCTATGAACAGAAAAAAAAACTTTAATGCACATTGAATAATATTTTTAATAGTATTTAAAAAATATATTTTTTTTTCTTTCAAATTTGATATAAATCAAACCAATAATGAAGAAACAAATTTTTTTTTTTTAGAATCAATACAAGATTAAATTGGTATTTATATTTCAAACATGAGAAAAAAGTTATTAGAATTATTAAATATCGGTAGTATATTTTGACTAATAATTTTTAGTAAAATGTAAAATTTCTATTTGCATTACAAAAATAATTATGTACTTTTTTTTAAAGAGGAAAAACATTTGAGGGAAACAGAAGAAATAATCTTCACTATCAAAGTAATATTCTATATAACTAATAATTCAGCAATTATAACTTATCAATCAACTTCCGAATTCATTATATGAATTCATGAATCCAGATATTATTTAATTTAAAACAATTATTAATGTAAATTTGAAGTCATGGAGTGAGAATTTTTGAAAAAACTAATTGAGTTTTAAATTTTGATTAAAACTTAAAAAAAACTTGTCACCCAATTTTTAAAATATTTATTTTAACCATTTCATTATATATATATATAAATTTTTTTTTCATTTTCTATATTATTTACTCATTATATATATATATATTTTTTTTTTTAACTTTTAATTATAAGATTCAACTCTTGAAATTAAGAATTAAGTAAATAATCTTTGACATGCACTTGTACCTATAAGAAAACAAATTACTTAAATTTATAAATTTTTACTTTTATTCTTGTTAGTTTAGACAAAAACTAATGAAAATAAAAAAAAAGAATATTATAAGCGAAAAGTAAAATTAATAAAATGATAATTACCAAAAGCCCCAATTTAATTGCAGTTAAAAATGTTATTAATACCAACATTCAAGTTATAACTTGTTGCATGGGTAAATATTTTGTTAAATTCGTATATCTGTAATTCATTATTTTTTTTATAATGAACGAAGATGGTAATTTTTGAAATATATTAAGGTGATATATTAGATTTATAATCATGTATACACATATTAGTAATATGGACCTATAATATTAGTAATATGAAATTAGTTTAAATACCGTATAAGTATTGCCTTGGTAGTTTTTAAAAGTTACTCAATATAATTTTTTTTTTCTTGTTTCTTTATATAGTGTGATAATTGACAATTTTATAATTTGTGCATCTTAAAGTTTAGATGTAAATTTTTTTAATATATTTTTATGTAAATTTAAGTTAATTATTTTTTTGTACGAACGAATGTTCTTTATGAATTTTAAAACAAAAAAGTATAAATAAAATATAGTTACAATTTAACACAAAAAAATGGTTACTCCATCATGTAAAAATATAAATGATAAAATGTAAATTTTAATAATTAAATATTTCTAAATTATGTCATAATGTTTATAAAAAAACAAAGATTTTTTTTATGTATTCATTTTGAATTATATCCAATTAAAATGTAAGTACATTTGTATAGTGATAAAGATATAATAAATATAAAGTTTATTTAAATTTTTTTAATTTCGGGTACTTTAATGAATTTTTAATGAATTTTAGAATATAGAATAAATTCCGCGACTTTAAAATTGCAGTAGAACTTTATTGCGACACTATTCAGCAGTTTATAATTTATAAGCTGAATTGCATATTAATACTGTATTATTGTAGTTTTAAAATTTAGGTATTTTTTAACTATTATTATATACAAATATAAATATGTTTTTTTTATATAAATTAACAATTAAATTGGATGGTATATTTTGAAAGCAATTAAAGTCTATTTTCAATTAAAAATGAAAAATGATTAAGGTAACCAAATATTCTACCACCTAGTTATTTGCTTTATAGAAGATATTATTTAACTATTCCACTAGAATAGTTTCAATTCCAACTATTAACATTATCACTGATTTGAAAAATGTAAAAACTCTTTCAAAATTCCAAATGGACTTAGATCACTTTCAAAATGAACCATTCATTTAATGTTGAATTTTTTGATACCCGAATTTTATAATTAGTTTTAATTTTCAAGACTAATTACGTATCGTTTAATCTTGTTTTTTTTTTAAACAAAAATATTCAATAATAAGCATAATAATTTCTGCTTTTTTTTGTGTAACACATTACACAATTACAGTTTATAAATTACAGTAAATTGCAAATGTAGCACATTACAGTAATTACACTTAATAAATTTAGTTGTTTTTTGAATACATAAATATGATCGGCCAACTATTACAATTAGGTTTTTTTGTAGCAGTATGTTAAACAGTTGAACATCAGTGTTAAATTTTAGTAGTTGACATCAAAAATGATAATCATCATTTCCAATTAAAGCAATATTTGCTATTAGAATTTATATTATTTTGTTATATATTTGATATTAGAATTTTATTTAGTTATATATTAAACTTTAAAACAAAAAAGTTCAGAAAATAAATTAAAATTACAGCCAATTGTGTTGGCTACGAATATTCTGAATTATAAAGCTTACGTCTGATGCTTTAAAGTTGCTAGCATTTGGTTTGACACACTGATGAAGAAAGTATTTTTTCTAAAGTTTTGCATATTTATCTAAGTTATATATATATATATATTTCGCTATGTTCAAAGGAAGAAAATGTTGTTCTCATAAAATGACATATGTATTTCAAAAATTAATATGAAATATGAGTCTGTCAACTTTAAAAAATTCGTCCAACTTACAATTTCTAAATTATTACATTGGTCTGATTTACTTGTGCAAATTCTTTTAACTCTTAAATATTTTCTTTTAATGATTATTATTTGAGAATTAAGTTATTTTTATTTTAGAATATTTTTTATTAACAACCATGGGTTGTAGTTACTGAATTGTGTAGATTAATTATTGCAATTCTTAAGCCACGAATTATTTGAACATTGACGATACATAA